AGAGAGAGAGAGAGAGAGAGAGAGAGAGAGAAGTAGAATCAGAACAGTGGCATGGGGGCACATGCAGCCCCTGAGATGAGAGCTCCTCGTATAAAGGAGGGGGATTGCAGGGAGTTTCTGAAATAGGAAATGGGATGGTGGCACATAGGGATTCTGTGTGGAGGGTAGAGGAATGCAAGAAGCTCCTGGTGTGGGTAATGTGCTTGGCCTACAGAAATAACAAGTGTGCAACTCTCTAGTATGCTTAAGCTTTAAAAGTAATGTTGGTACATTAAATTACAACATTTCTTATAGTTCACTGGTTCGATAAGAGAAGAGAACAGGCCTATTGGCAAACTCATTTTAAATACCTTCTGTTTCTTTATGCATAGGCACCATTTTTTAGACACATTCACACCATAAGGCTATTACAAGCTATAATTAGTTTATAGTACATTTGTTCTCTCTCCCTTACAATTCAGTCCTTCTCAAAGACTTACTTTTGCCTAGGGATCTAAAAATAATTCAAATGTGTCTATGTTAAGGTGAGGATGTCAGGATGATAGTCCAATTATGCTCTGTAGTCTCCTCCAGTATCATTCCATCAATGAGTCTGCAAGGGCTGCTGCGATGTGTAAGCAGCATAGATTGTACTAAATACATCCCCCATCTGCAGGTTCTTCTGATGTGTAGTCAAGTGATCCAAGAACACAACAACCTTTCTGACATATCACTGTGTTGATCTACTACTAGGTCAGCATTTTTTCTGTTTATTGAATAAATGGAAGGCCCAGGGAACTGATAATGGGTATCAAGCCCTCAGCCTAGATCATTGATCCAATCTGTGGCAGAAGCTAGAAGTGACCTAAAGTGGCATCTTAGGTGGTCTATGTGAAATAAGGTTGGTGGCCTTAGTTCAATTCCTAGTAGAGAGATTTCCCATCATAAAACCTATTGAGATCACCGGTGTTGTTCGTTCCTAGGGCTGTCTAATAAGACTATCAAGCATGGACTTAAACCACTCTTTTACCCCTTAAGTATTTAACTTGATCTACTAAGGACAGAACTAAGGGACTTTGGAATGGGAAACCTGCATTGAAAACTCCAGGCTAAAACACATTTGTGAATCTACGGAAGACTAATGTCCAAGGTTATCAACCTAACCTCTTTCATGAGTTGCTGGACAGTCACTGAAGAACAATGAAACAGCATTAATATAATAACTTACGCCTGAGGAGATGCACAAATGGTTTCATAAACCTCACTACGTATTCAAGTTCAGGCTTGTGAACTCTGCCCAGCTGAATCAAATGATGTTCCAGGGGAATACTAGCCATCTCTTCCAATTCCTTGTCGTTATATACATGTCCTAATGAAATTACAAACAGAGCATATCCTTGGCACTTGGCTCTCAGAGATGCCTCCTTTAATGTGTCTTTGTCCCACTGACTTGTTTCTCCAGCAGATATAACAATAATAGCCTTGTGTTGTCTGGAGTGGGGTGCAGTTAAGAAAACATTATCAATTGTCCACTGTATGGCATGGCCAAGAGCAGCTGCTCCATTCAGCTGTCGAACAGATTCTTGGATATGTCTTTTCATTAACTGTCTCTTCTTGTAGGTGAAGAAGTCAAATTCTTTCTTTACAGGGTTCTGCCCCTTTTGAGGTTTGAAACCTGGGGGAGCATGGCTCACCACAGCCACCCTATCACCTGTGGAAGAAGTCTCTGGCTCAGAGGAAATGTCAAAGTTATCAAGTACTCTGCTCAAGAAGTTTTTCACGTTCTCAAATTCGGCACTACTCATTTTCTGTGAGCTATCCAAAATGAAAGCAGCATCCACATATACCGGTGGTGATCGGAATCTGCGGCGTTCACAAAACTCATCTGGTTTACATTTGTCTGCAAATAAACGGAAAATTAGTTTGTACTTCTTTCTTTAAGAAACTGAAAGTGTGACAAAAGAAACGGCATCGAAACTCTCAGTTCCGGAGAGGATTAAAGAGCCTAAACTTAAAGTATTAACAACCATCTTCTACATCTGTGAAAGTTATGTATAATTAAAATCAGAAAGCTAAGGGACTGATCCTGTGAAATAATCCGCTCCTCACAAGAGTAGCCCTTATTACTAGGATTGTTGATTAATCAGAGTTAACTCATGCGGTGGCCTCCAAAAAAATTAATTGCGATTAATCGCAGTTTTAGTCGCACTGTTAAACAATAGAATATCAATTGAAATTTATTAAATATTGTGGATGTTTTTCTACATTTTCATATATTGTATTTTGTGTTATATTTTAAATCCGTGTATATTATTGTTGATTACAAATATTTGCACTGTAAAAATGATAAATGAAATAGTATTTTTCAGTTTACCTCATTCAAGTACTGTAGTACAATCTCTGTTATTAAAGTGCAACTTACAAATGTAGATTTTTTGGTTACATAACTGCACTCAAAAACAAATGTAAAACTTCAGAGCCTACAAGTCCACTCAGTCCTACTTCTTGTTCAGACAATCGCTAAGACAAACAAGTTTGTTTACATTTACAGGAGAGAATGCTGCCCTCTTCTTATTTACAATATCAACTGAAAGTGAGAACATGCGTTCTCATGGCACTGTTGTAGCTGGTGTTGCAAGGTATTTACGTGCCAGATATGCTAAACATTTTTATGCACCTTCATGCTTCGGCCACCATTCCAGAGGACATGCTTCCATGCTGATGACGCTCGTTTAAAAAAACAATTTTGTTAATTAAATTTGTGACTGAACTTCTTGGGGGAGGGGGGGACTGTATGTCTCCTGCTCTGTTTTACCCACATTCTGCTATGTATTTCATGTAATAGCAGTCTTGGATGATGACCCAGCACATGTTATTCATTTTAAGAACACTTTCACTGCAGATTTCACAAAACGCAAAGAAGGTACCAATGTGAGATTTCTAAAGATAGCTACAGCACTCGACCCAAGGTTTAAGAATCTGAAGTGCCTTCCAAAATCTGAGAGGAACAAGGTATGGAGCATGCTTTCAGATGTCTTAAAAGAGCAACACTTCGATGTGGAAACTACAGAACTCGAACCACCAAAAAAGAAAATCAACCTTCTGCTGGTGGCATCTGACTCAGATAATAGAAAATGAACATGCATGGCCCGCACTGTTTTGGATTGTTATTGAGCAGAACCCATCATCAGCATGGTATGGTATATCATCAGTATGGAAACATGTCTTCTAAAATGGTGGCCAAAGCATGAAGGTGCATACGAATGTTTAGCATATCTGGCACGTGAATACCTTGCAATGCCACCTACAACAGTGACATGCGAACATCTGTTCTCACTTTCAGGTGACATTGTAAATAAGAAGAGGGCAGCATTCTCTCCTTTTACATTGTTTTGTTTTTTAGTGCAGTTATGTAACAAAAAAAAATCTACATTTTGTAAGTTGTACTTTTGCAATAGAGATTACACTATAGTACTTGTATGAGGTGAATTGAGAAATACTATTTCTTATCATTTTTACAGTGCAAATATTTGTAATAATAATATAAAGTGAGCACTATACACCATCTTCTGTACTGTAAATTGAAATCAAATATTTAAAAATGTAGAAAAACATCCAAAATATTTAATGAATTTCAATTGGTATTCTATTGTTGTGATTAATCGCGATTAATTTGTTTGAGTTAATTACATGAGTTAACTGCGATTAATCGACAGCCCTCATTTTTATGCATTCGAGTACATTTCCTCCTAAGAAAAACTTGGCAGCACAGATAGTGGAGATAAGCAGTTGGTTGTAAATCATGATCAACATGCTACTCATTGGAAAGTTCCCTCCTTTTAGGGGTTAACTTGTGAAGAAGAAATAAAGCCAGAAAATTCAGCTGTGGTTATTTGAAACACCAATGTCTGTCTAAATGCTTTTGCCAGTCTCTCTCATGCTTTTTGCCAGGCAGCACTAAATAGTGTTTTTTCTCTAATACAGATGGATCTTACCATAACAAAGAGTGCAGCGCTGAAATGTTTCCAAGAATGGCTCATAGTCATCCTCTTGATTAATATTTATTACCTGGAAGAATCCAGTATCGTCCATCTAGACAGAACAATAATAAAAAGATTTAGTGCAGAAGGCAAGTGGTGAGTTTTACCTTAAAACAGTTTCTTTGAATACTGTAGAATTGTGTTCACGGCAGGCATTCAGAGAGAATTACATTCATTCCTAAGTGTCAGACATTCAACCCCTAAGCCACCCACAACCAACAGCAATTTTGTACATTCTCCAGCGTGACAAACTTCAGTGACCCTGAAAACCTCCACAGAAACCTCCAATTTCTCAACTACCCTTCAGCAATGAACTTGGGTTCTGGCTGTCTTTGCGCTGGGCTCTGACTTGGCACCTCCACACTGAAGTTTTGCCCTCTATTAGGGGCTGGAGTGTTCCAAATCTCAGAGTCAGCCAGCTTGTGTGATTTGGAGCATTTCATTTGACACACAGTTAGTTCAGTAGAAAACCGGTGAGACTTTAAATGCGTGTCCAAAAACAAGGCACTCTAGTTTTTCCAAGCAGAAGTACAGATTGAGAATAATTCTCAAAACAAAAATGCTACATTTAGTGTTTCCAAACACTAGCTACTCCTTACAAAGTGATGGGCCCTGTCCTTCAGTGTCTGCTTGAACAGAATTCCCATTGACTTCAATGGAGGGGGTCAAGGACTGCAGGCTGAAACTGGGAATCAGTGACACCAGGCATCTTATTCTATTCTGAAATGGTTCTCTTTCCACTGATGTAATGTAACACAAGCTAGGAGTTATTATGTAAAGGGAGAGGGGAAAAGGGGCAGAGCTGGGGAATCCTGTGGCGCTAAAGGAGAGCTCATGCAGAAGCCCCTGTGAAGAAGGGGAAAAACCTGCTGGTTGGGAGAAGCTGAGCCCAAAGCAAGAAGGGTTGATGCTGGAGGGTGGATCCCAGGGGTAGAGGTCACAGGCAGAGAGGCCTGTGAGAGTAGAACACAAGGGGAAGCCCCCTTGCAGCAAGCCTGAGTGGAGGGCTGCAGGAAGCAGAGCCCAAAACAAAGGAGCTGTCCTGGAGGGATGTTCCCTGAGCAGGGGTAGGACTCTCAGAAGGGAAGCCTGGCTCAGTGGAACACTGGAGAGTTCTGTCCCAGGAGACCTGCCTTGGGGCTATGGGAAAAGAGTTGCGGGTCTTGGAACACTCAGGTAGATGCCCTGGAACAGGGGCTAAAGGAACTGGCACAGAGTGGTTAGTGACTCTTGGCTGGGTGACTAGGGAACGGTGACCTTTGCATGGGATTGACGAGTTGCTGTGTTGTAACCTTGTTTAACTTTGGGGGTTTGAGAAGAACTGTTTTACTATGAGGGATCTGTGGACTGTGACCCTTTTATTAATATAAAGGGTTTGAATTTGCTGCTGAGAGAATGTTCCTATGCACAAATGGAGTCCAAGGAGAAACTGAGGTAGCTGCAGCAGGGTGCTGCAGAAGGGCTCCCTGAGTGGGGGCCGTCCTACTCCACATCCCTTTGTTAAACTGATTTCTCTTAATAGTGTCTTCAACTAGATCTTTGTTTAGCTTCTAGTCTTTCTCCTTGAAAGAGATTACAGAGTTCCCAAGGAAATCCATGACAACATGCTGTATTGTAAAGAATGTTTAAGCTGTAAAATTCCAACTGATTTTCTCCTTTCCAGCAAAAAATGCTGCAAAAGAACAATCTTCAGAAAACGTCCTGCAGCACTACTATGCACAGAACACACTTTTAGACACTGAGTAATGAGTGCTGTAAGGGTTCGAGTCCTGCTCATCTTGCTCATGTGATCAGCATTTGGCCTAAGACAGTGTTATCCTATAATCGTACTGTGGTAACTGGAAAGGTCATCACAGAACAAGTTAGCTGAACAGGAACTGTATGTAACATTAGATGCGCCAAACTGTGTTAGAGAAACATTAAAGTTGCACTGACTGTTAAAATAAAAAATATATATATATAGAAATCCAAACATACTGTTCCTACAGCTATGCAACTTAGCCACATTGCATAGATCTGCTCTTTGATTTGTTGCTGTTGCTAAATCCAGCTCAGAAATTGCTCTGCTACCCCAACAATGACTGAAGTGTGGGTCTCTATATTCAGTGGGCCGCCGTGATTTCCATACCAAATCTGCACAGTTTGCAAGAAAATACTTTGTCTTACTCCTCACCAACTCAGCTTAGCTATTGACAGTCAACTTGGGTTGTTCCCATTTCACACACCGTCAATGCTAATAACGGTTCTGCAGGCTGAATTATTCCCTCAGCTACAACTATGCAACCCTGTTATCTTTAGATTATGTAATCAGTGATACCTCTGCAAGACACCAGATAATTAAGAATCTGGCTGTTTTTCTTCATAAGATGCCCTGCTCTCTCTACCACTGTTATTTAAAGGATTTCCTTGTCACAAATGCTAATAGTCCCACAACCACATTGCTTTGGTAGTGAACTCTACAGTTTTCAAACACATTGGGTTTGATTCTCCACTGCCTTGCCCCTTGTGTAGTCATTTACCCCTCAGGCAGAGTGAGTGGAAAATACCACTGTTCGGGTTTGGTACTGTTTTACTGCTAGTCTGCACTCACTTACCACAGGGGTAAATGACAGACAATGTAAGGTGTAAGGCAGTGGAGAATCAGGCCAGGTTTTCTTGAATGTATTAAATACTCTGATTAAGCACCAAGTCCTACAATGTTCATCAGATGCATAATCCTTATACAAGTAGTTCTACTGACTTGAATGGAATCACTAGCATTAATAAGGACTATTCATGTAAGTGTTGCAGGATTTGACCCCAGATATAATCACAAATAACCAATACAATGGGCCACATCTGTCTTGGGTGTAACTCCACTGAAGATAATGGAGTTACACCAAAGGATGAATGTGGCCCACTGTGTTTTGAAGGCTGTGAAATACAACGTCTTGTTACTGAACATCAACAAGAAAACGTTAGTGGATGTCTTACCGCAAAAGCACGACTGAGGAGGGGAACATCATTAAAAGCGATAACTACTGGAACAATATCAAATGCAGTGTACTCCAGAACTGCTGTGTTAATAGAAAATTCATCTGAGGACGGCCCATTGCTGAAAAACACTGCTACTTTTCTCACATTAGGACCTTGGCGAGTTCGCTTGAAAACATTCCTGGCAACGAATCCCATTGCTCTGGCAATATCCCGTTCGCTTGAGGATCTCTCATAAGTCAGATTATTAAGTTTTTTGAGGAGCTGATTCTTGTTGTAGAACTCGGAGAAGCGGATCAGATAATGAGTGTTGGAATTGTAGGACACAACAGCGACTCTAGCTCCCACTGGACAGTTGCTGTCTCTAATTTTGGTGGCATTCACTACTGATATTACAATCTCTCTCATTCTTTCAAATAACTGGGATGACACATCCTGGGATATGTCCAAAGCAAACACTAGTTCCGTTGGATATACTGGGCATTCTGGTTTTTCTAGACAATAAAAAACAGTTGTTATACAAATCACACAGGATAAAAAATGCAAGCTATTTTAAAAAGTGATTAATAACTACTTAATTTTGCTTTCCCTAGATAGCCTGATACAATGCTGCCTGCTATCTAGGGACTCACTCTATAGAAATTGATACAAGGGCAAGTCATGCTGGGGCATAGTTCAGGAATGCAATGAGACTTTTTCAGACACGGCACTGAGGAGTGCAGGTGCTGGACACAACTGCAGTCCCTGTACTCCTTCGAGTAGGGGGGAAGGGAGGCGAAGGCAGGGAGAAGCCAAAGTCATAGTCTTGCCCCCTTCCATGCCACATGCAGGTCTGCAAAACTGGCTGGGTGCAGAGGGGGATTATGGAGCACTTCCCTTCCTGTCTGGAAGGTCCAGGAGGGATTGCGTTTCCTGAGGCACAATCACGCCTGGAGCTCTCTCTGTGGTAATGTGGTTCTGTACTGGCCCCAGCTCCATGCTCATCAGGCACAATGCAGCCTACCATGTCTATTGCACTTTACTTAAATGCAACACTAAGCTGTGGAAAAGCAGGGGGTATTTCTATGTTTAGATACATTTCAATGTGTTTAGTGACTCCAAATGGTAGTAGAGGCACAAGACAGCTGAAAATAAAGCTAGTGAATGGAAAGGAAATGGTAATCTAAACTCATGGTACGCCATAAAGACGACCACGATGGTACCCAAAGGTTGTTATAAAAGAAAACTCTGAGAAAAGAGGAACACCAAACTGACTTTAACAAATTAAGATAACTGGTAGGTAAGGTCCCGTGGGAAGAAAATCTAAGGGCTAAAGGAGTTTACATGAGCGGTGTGAAGCAGAAGTTTCTCAAAGAGACGGTATTGAAGGCGCAACAGCAAACTATCTTGATGCAAAGGAAAGATGGGGAGAATAATAAGAGGACAATATGGCTCCATGAGGAGCTCTTTAATAACCTGACAATCAAAAAGGAATCCTACAAAGAGTGGAAACATGGACAAAGTACTAAGGATGAATACAAAAGAATAGCACAAGCACGTAGGGACAAAATCAGAAAGGCTCTGGCACAAAATGTACAAGGGACATAAAAGGCAATAACAAGCGATTCTAAAAATACATTAGGAGAAAAGAAAGATGAAGGAAAGTGTAGGTCCTTTAGTTAGCTGTGAAAAATAGCTAGTAACTGGATGGCATCAAGAAGGCCTGTTTTGCTTCAGTCTTCTCTAAAAAGGTAAACTGACCAGATACTTAACACAATTAATATTAACAACAAGGGGGAAGGAACACAAGCCAAAATAGGGCGAAGAACAAGTTAAAGAATATTTAGATAAGTAAAATGTATTCGAGTCATCAGGACCTGATAAAATTCACCCTCTGGTACTTAAAGAAGTAGGCTGAAGGCATCTTGGAACCATTAGTGATTATCTTTAAGAACTCATGGAAGTTGGGTGAGGTCCCAGAGGGCCAGAGAAGGGCAAATATTGCACTTATTAAAAAGGGGAACAAAGAGGACCCAGGGAATTATAGACCTAATTTCAATATCAGGAAAGATACTGGAACAAATTATAAAACAATCAATTTGTAAGCACCTAGAGGATTACAGGATTATAAATCATAGCCAACATAGATTTGTCAAGAACAAATCATGCCTAACTGACCTAATCTTATTTGACAGGGTTACTGGACTAATGGATAGGCCGGAAGCAGTAAACGAGATGGATCTTGATTTTAGTAGGGCTTTTGACACAGTCCCACATGACATTCTCATAAACAAGCTAGGGAAATAGGATTTAAATAAAATTATTAAAAGGTGGGTACCCAACTAGTTGAATGATAACTGGTCTTTGAATAGAGTCTATGGTCCACCGTCAAAGTGGGGAGACTTATCTAGTGGGGTCATGCAGAGGTCTGACCTAGGTCCAGCACTATTCAACATTTTCATTAAATGACTTGGACAATGGAGTGAAGGTTATACTTATAAAATTTGCAGATGACACCAAGCTGGGAGGGGTTGCAAGCACTTTGGAGGACAGGATTAGAATTCAAAATGACCTTGAGAAATTGGAGAATTGGTCTGAAATCAACAAGATGAAATACACTAAAGACAAGTGCAAAGTACTACGCTTAGAATAAATAAAATGCACAGTTACAAAATGGGAAATCATTGGCTCAGAGGTGGTACTACTGAAAAGGATATGGGGGTGATAGTGGATCACAAATTGAATGAGTCAACAATGTGATGCAGTTGCAAAAAAGGCTAATATTCTGGGATATATTAACAGGAGTGTCATATGTAAGACAACCAGCTATGTCTGTGTGTGTTGCAGCCAGCCACACCTTGGCTCTTACCAGCCTTAGTTATACTGCAGGGTGATCCCCAAACACCCCCAGTCCTAGACTTTTTTTTCCTGGAAATGTATGTCCTGTATTGCCCAGCCCCCTCCTGCACAATAGAAGTTTATGTATTAAACTTTTAAAGTCTATTATTGCTTTAATAGAAATAATATGCACTTAACTTGCCATCCCAAATGGCATTTAAAACACAGGATTAAATAAAACAATAAAACAAGTTTATTAACTACAAAGAGAGATTTTAAGTGAATACAAGAAATGAGGCATAAAAATCAGAAACGGTCACAAGAAAATAAAGTTCAAATGCTACTGCTGCCTCACTTAAACTATATCAAATTCAAGCAAAGTTTCTCATCATATGCTTTCAACAGTCTAACTGACCAAACTTAGTAGGACAGGACCCCTTCTCCAGTCCCAGGAATGCTTTGGAATTGGTAATAGTAACATTCCAGGAGATTAGCTCTATGGGGGCTTTACCAATATCAAAGACAAATGATGCAAGGGATTGAGGATGCTAATACACCAAGAAGCAAATCAGAAACATACAAGAAAAGGCCATGAGAATATAAGCTGAAAATATTCATACAATGGGAATCAGTGATGGGCTGGACCGTAAACTTAAAAGATTTGTGGAAATTAAACTAAAAGAAGAATATATCCTTCTTTTTGCTTCAGTGCATGATCCTACCAACTTCAGTACATCTGAAAATGCAGACTGTGACGACAGCAAACGTGTAAGTGTGAATAGTTGTCAAGGCTGACACTCAATGTGAAGAAATTCTTAATTAAAGGAAGAATACTGGTTTCTCATTCCTGCTGTGGATGCAGCAATCACAACACACAACAATCACTCTGATGAGTTAAAGAGAAGCACTGATGGCCCCTTTCTGATCACATGTCCAATCCTCTTTATCCCACAGTGGAGGACTCAGTGCAGGGTCTTGAAAATTGAGAGTATAAAAGTAGCACTCTGAGAAGGTCAATGAGAACTTTTGAGAGTGAGAGGAGAAGAAAACAGGGTAGGTTTTCCCAAGGGATCTCCCCTCAAAGTATATTTATTTGCAAAGTTGCCTCAGCTGCTAGGTACTTCATCAGATATTGAGGAGGACGAATGACGTTTTAAGGCCAAATCATCCTGTAATTCCCACAAACGTGAGTAAATCTCAAAGAGCCATAGAGGTAAAACCTTTATTTTATCTCTGCACAAAAGTTACTCATGTGAGGGCTGCAGGGTAAGTGACATAATTTGCAGTTTTAGTGGTTAAAAGGCAAGTAATCCAGAGAGATGCACCATAAGTATCTTTACGGTAATGGCCTAAATTTCAGAGGTGCTGATCATCCACATCTCCCACTGCATTGAATGGAAATGCAGATGTTCAGA